TTGCTGTTATCTGCTAGTAGTACTAATAGTAGTAGTACTAACACTTTCTTCACTGTTACTGTTAACACAACTGAGCCAAAAACACGATGGCAAACAATCTCATTTCACAATTACAACAAATGGATTACTAACAAGTTAGTACTTCTGTGAAGTYYTCCTGGCAAGTTAAAGGGAGTAGAATTGGATCTTTATTCAAAAAGGATATTTTATTAGCTAGTAACACTTGATTCTYACACAGCAGGTGTAAATGAAAGTATCTAGGCTTAATTCAACCAAAGTTCATATAGTACATTAAAACAAGAAATTTAAGCTCTGTCATAAAAATCACCCCCAGTTGAAAATCCTCAAGGTTAGTAGTAGTAGTAGTAGTAGTAGTAGTAGTAGTAGTAGTAGTAGTAGTAGTACTAGTAGAAGTTTTAATGCTGGTGGTGGAAGAAGGTCGCCAAATATTCACTGGAAGAACAAGTAACACAAAAAAATAATAGCAGAGAGCAGATACAATGTTTTCTCTCACCAGAGTTTAGTTCTACTAGTAGTGGTGGCATGGAAAGACAAGTAATCTATTACTGAGCAGAAGTAAACTTTTCCAACAGAATTCTTCTTGGTGCTGTGATAGGGATGACTGCTGGTGGGTCCTCATTACTAGTACCAGTAGTACTAGTAGCAGCAGTACTAGYAGTCACTAGCTACTACTACTAGTATCAGCAATGGGAAGACAGCACATAGTAAAGTTTGGTGTCTAAATTGTGACAGATCTTGTTGTTTTACACAGGACRATGTATGGGGAAATTAGACAAGTTGTTGCAATGAGCACAAACATACCTACATACCTCCACACATACATACATATGTTCATGCAATGCTTACCCACATAAAGCATGCATGCATAYAGCAGACATATATGGTGCATACATGCCTAGTACATGCCTACATGTATCATACACACCTTTACAAAGTATGATTGTACAGAGCATCAAAAGTATCTTTYATCCTTCATAATGATTGTGACATGAAGTGTCATCAGATCAGAACCCTATGGATTTTTTACTAGAATCCACAGTGACACAAGGAGATGTCTAAAGCACTTGACATCTCCCAAACATTGTGACACCACTTCCTCACAGTTTAAATATCTTTTATGTACTTGTTTTTTGATGCGCACAAGATGCCATTGAATACTACTACTAGTAGTAGTGAAACAACAGCAGTTCCATTCTCTTTCTAATTTTGCTTTGTCCACAATACCGGTATGAGGAACAAACCCTAATGAGGAGGTGGAGACAGGTCCGGAGCCAGTACAGCAAATTTTACACAGCTCTAACAAGGAGGGAACAATGCACCTCATTTGGGCTCCCGACTTGAACCTGTCTTGAGATTAAAAAACCATGAAGTATTTTACATTGAAATATTTGGTAGTACTAATAATTTGTACATTGTACCACTAGAATGATGCTACGATACTGACGATATGGAAAACTCCAATTAAAAAAACACTCCTTGTTGGTCGATTGATCTGAGAATTTGGGATCCCCTTCTTCTTATTTTGATGAAGTTATTCCAGCATATGTATGCACAGGAAGTGTCCCCAATAGCTCTGTCTGGAGGGTGAGACAAATCTCCTGCTGGTGTTTTTTTCTGACTAGTAAAAACTGCGCAGTTTTCTTCCATTTGTAACCTGTCTCAGATTTGTTCCACACATTTGGGTTCGTACCTCGTGCTTCCCCCTCCCCCGTTGCTCTTGCTTTGCGTTCCCACCGCCGTTAAAATACTTTGCGATTTTATTACCAGGTGCGAGTACATACTCGTACGTACCAGTACTAGCAATTGAGTGCCCCCGAATCGGTCACTTGAAAACGTGACTCGACTTTCTGGTAGGCACGCGCGGAACATAAATTCAAATTTTACGGGTAGAGGAGGTGCCGGCTTATTTTTGCCAAAAGTTACTTTTCCGGTTTGAACCTCGTTTCGTTGTTTTCCTCATCAAAATAACCATGGGTACGTACTGCAACTAGTTACAACGAATAGATCGAACCCGGAATATTTCTGCGAAATACAATCAAGCAGAAAGTAATTACAAGAGACTCTGCTTCACGTTGAAATCTGCTATTTCGTTGTTCTCTTCCGACAGCACCGTGAATTGCAACTAGAGGCAGGAAGATTATAGCATAGCGACTATTGAACTTCTCGGAGAGCAACTTGCCCAATCTACGATAGTCGAGATGGAAGACGCCGATCCTCTTCGTGCTGAGAGGGACGGCGATGTTGATATGGGTACGAACAACGAAAAGGAGGTAGAAGAACCTCCGCCTAGACTAATGATTACAAAAATGGTAAGCTGTTGGATCGTTGATTCCGTAGCCGAATAGAACTTGATGCGGAAATATTCAATATTTTTTTCTCATTTCTTGATCGTCCTCTACTTTGCAGACGCTGGAAAACTTCAAATCGTATGCTGGAATAAAGGAGATTGGACCTTTTCACAAATGTTTTTCTGCTGTGGTGGGACCAAATGGCTCGGGAAAGTCGAATGTGATTGATGCTATGCTTTTTGTCTTCGGAAAACGTGCTAAGAAGCTTCGGCTAAACAAGGTGTCCGAGCTCATCCACAAAAGTGACGGTGTCAAAGACAACCCTCCTCAGTTCGCGCGAGTTTCTGTTCACTTCCAGGACATTATTGATACGGGCAGTGGTGATGAAGATTACCGTGTACTTCCTGATACCGAGGTAGTCGTTACCCGCATTGCCAAAAAGGACAACACATCAACCTACAAGTTAAACGGAAAGAATTCATCTTTTAAAGACATCGCGAAGTTTTTAGATTCGAAAGGAATCGATCTAGATAACAACCGCTTCCTTATTCTACAGGGGGAAGTAGAAATGATCAGTATGATGCCACCAAAGGGRAAAACAGAATCTGATGAAGGTCTCTTGGAGTACTTAGAGGATATCATTGGGTCTTCGAAATTCGTCGAGGCAACCAATGAAGCCGCAGAAAGAGTGGATGGTCTCTCTGAAGTAAGACAAGAAAAATTGAATAGAGTCAAAGCAGTTGAACGGGAAAAGGAAAATCTAGAAGGGGCAAAACAAGAGGCAGAGGCCTTGTTGGGGAAGGAACGAGAGATAAGGCGCAAACAAAATATTCTTTACCAAATTCATGCTATGCGAGCCGACAAGGATTCGACAAAGTACACACAGCAGCAGGAAAAACTTTCGGAACAGCTAGAAATCGAACGTGAGAGAGTAGCTCAAGCCCGAAAGCGAATCGAAGAAATTGAAAGTGGTCTGACAGAGCAGCGCAAAGACTACGATGCTTCTTACCAGGAACTGAAGCGAACCAAAGACGAGTTTAGTGCATATGAGCGACGGGATATTAAGTTACGAGAAACCATTAAGTATGAACGGACAAACAAGAAGAAATTACAGGACAAGATAAAAGCGGAAGAAAAGAAGGAGACTAAGGCAGAAAATAAAAAAGCCAAGGCGGAAGAAAGTGTTCCAGAATTAGAGGACGAAATCGAACGTCTCGCTGAGTCAAAAGCTGAAGAAGATTCTAAGCTGGAAAGAATCGAAGAAGAAACAAAAGTTGTCACCCAGAATATTCGTCGAGAGCTAGAAGCAAAAGCAGCCGAGTTAGCACCTGTCAAACAAGAAAGAGCTGTGTTGCAAGCTGACTTAGATACGGCCGAAACAGAACTCAAATTGTTGGAGGACTCTTCGAAACGAGTTAAGGAAAGACTGGCTTCTTCCGAGTTAGAACTCGAAGCTCTCGATGCCACACAAGAAAGTAAACGCCAGAAGCTGAAAGAACAAGAAGTAGAATTAGCTTCGACTAAACAAAGAATCGTTGACTTAAAGCAAGAAGATCGTGAACTGTCTGCAAGAGAAGGAAGTATGGGAACACGCCACAAGCAATTACTGGTATGTTACGAGCATAATCGCGAGATGGCAATCCGAAGCACTACGATTTCTGTTCCTAATGCGTTTTCTTTCTCTTCTTTTTATTCATTGTCTTCATTCCATCTGATCATATCCAAAGGCCCAAGTCGAGGATGCAAAGTCAGCTCTTAGAGCTTCAGGCGGAGGAAAGTCACGTTCCAAAGCAGTACAAGGAATTTTGGACGCTTCCAAAAGAGGAGGCGAACTATCGAAAGTTGGAGTTTTGGGCCGTCTTGGTGACTTGGCCACCATCAACGAACAATATGATGTGGCTGTTTCGACGGCGTGCGGTATGCTTGACAACGTTGTTGTGCAGACGACTGCTGGTGCTCAAAGATGCCTTGAGTTTCTTCGAAAGTACAATCTCGGACGCGCCAGTTTCATTCCATTGGATAAGCAAAAGAAGGGTGCTCACGATCGTGTCGTCGAGACCCCTGAAAATGCACCTCGTTTGTTTGATCTCATCACACCTTCAAACTATGCCATCACACCGGCCCTCTATCTTGCTATAGGAAACACTCTTGTAGCTCCTGATCTAGAGACTGCATCACGTTGGGCCTATGACTATTCTCGGCGATGGCGTGTGGTCACTTTGGACGGAAAACTAATTGAAACTGCAGGGACAATGTCAGGAGGAGGAAGAAACGTCCGTCGKGGCGGGATGCGTCTTGGGGTAAGTTTGCCAGCGCGTGATTATCCTCGCTCCGATTATCATTTGTAAATCAAACCAGCTCACACTTTTCGCATACCCTCTCGTTCCGCAGAACTCTCGTCGTCCAGCCATCACGGTGGCACCCGGAGAAGACGAGGAAGAGATCATCGAAAACATGAGTCATGAAGTCAACAATTTGGGTGCAAAGATTCAGGAGTCTCGTAAGCGACGACTAGCTATTAAAGACGAGCTACGAAAGTTGACGAAAGCTGTGAAGCTGTTGGAAACAAGTTTGCCGAAATTGACGCTAGAAATTGAAGGGTGCGATACGACTAGAGAAGAACTGACAAAACTTATTCCCGAACTTCGTGTGCAGAGCGAAGTGAGCGCTGAAGATTTGGAGAAGGCAAAAGAGCTTGAAGCCAGAGTCGAAGAATGTAAATCGAATATGAARTCTTGCGTCGAACTTGCAGATCGGCTTGAAAAAGAAGTATCAAAACTACAGAAGAATATCCTTGACGCTGGAGGTCCTAGGTTGAAGAAGCAGAAGGCGAAATGTGGAAAGATCCTTTCAGAGCTTGACGAAAGGGAGAAGGCTTTGAAGTCTGCCAAAGTTGGAATTGTTTCGTCCGAGAAGGCTTTGGCGAAAGCAAAAACAGCTAAGGATGTTTTGTGTCGTCAGCTTGAAAAATGTGAGGAACTCCTGAATGAAAAAACGACAGAATTCAAGACTCTTGAATCCGATGCGTTGGCCGTGATCCAAGCGTATGATAAAGTGAAAGAAATTGAGGAGGAAAAAAGGACCTTACTGGAAACGGCCACGAAAGAGGCTGAAGATTTGAAGAAATCTGAATCTGAAGTCCAGTTGATTGAGATCGATTTGATAGGACAATTGGATGCTCTGAAGAAACAGATTGCAGAATGCCAGAAAACTAAAGCTCATTGGGAAAAAGAGATCTCTCGTCTCAACAAAGTTGAGGATGATTTTGAAATTGATGATGCGAACGAAGATGGAGATATTGAACAAAGTGACAGTTCTGATGWTGACGACGACGACAATCATGCTTCGTCAGCTGATATCGAAATGACTGATGCAGAGGAAAGATCATCGGAGAAAAAGGCATTAACGAAATCTCCATCATCTACGTCTTTAGTGCTCCCTTATGAAGCACTCGAAAAATACGATCGCGAAGAACTGAAAGAAACCATTAGTGTTCTACAGAATGAGCGAAATGTTCTTGCAAAAAATGCAAACATGGGAGCAATCGCTGAATACCGTAAGAAGGAATCGGACTACCTTGCGAGAATTGATGAGTTGGATCAAGTCACAGAGCAACGAAACGATGCAAGGAAAGAGCACGAAGAACTTCGTCGTCAACGTCTCGAAATGTTCATGGATGGGTTTGGAATCATAACTCTGAAGCTAAAAGAAATGTATCAAATGATTACACTTGGTGGAGACGCGGAACTAGAATTGGTTGACTCGCTGGATCCGTTTTCCGAGGGTATTGTGTTCTCTGTGAGACCTCCGAAAAAGTCTTGGAAGAACATCAGTAACTTGTCTGGAGGTGAAAAGACCCTTTCTTCGCTGTCTCTTGTATTCGCACTCCATCACTTCAAGCCAACACCACTTTATGTCATGGATGAAATCGATGCTGCCCTGGATTTCAAAAATGTTTCTATTGTTGCGAATTATATTAAGGAGCGGACAAAGAATGCGCAGTTTATTATTATTTCACTCCGAAATAACATGTTTGAATTAGCAGATCGCCTCGTAGGGATCTACAAGACGCAAAACGCAAGTAAAAGTATCGCAATCAACCCAAAATGCTTCGTATCTGGACATAAAACACGCAGCTCTACTACATCATCAACAGTTCCGCTTGCTGATGCATCAAATAATTTTCCATCTATTCATTCTTCGTCAACTTACAAGAGAACAAACCAAATCGATCACTGAAAAATCAGCGTTGGCGGGATAAAATGTTGGATACTTTAAGAAAAGAATTTGAAGTTGGGGGACGGTTTCTTATTTTTGTTCAGGTACAATAATAAATCATCGAGTTGCATGAAACGTAAAGTTGTCCTATCCTTTGGATATCTTTAGTAGAAATTTGATAGCTTCACTGTTTTGAATGGTATTTATAAATCATCGAGTTGCATGAAACGTAAAGTTGTCCTATCCTTTGGATATCTTTAGTAGAAATTTGATAGCTTCACTGTTTTGAATGGTATTTTCAAACCTACACGTGCTGTATTATTTTTACGATTGTTTGCTGGTCTAATTTCATCACAAAAACAGTTCCTAAGAAGTCACTAATAGATTCGTGCCGACGATCAATAACCTTATTATTTTTATTAAGRAAGGTTGCGGTACAGTACAATCGTACCATAKAATTTCTTTTKGACTCCAAACGCTGCATAGCGGAGTCTGAAAACCATAGTGCACTTACCATTGTGCCGTATACTAAAGTTCTCGTCTAGACCGTTCTATTTATGTATTGAATGCAGGTTCGTGCCACTATGTGGTTCGTGACACTGGGGAGGACGCCGCATACCGGCTGGTCACCAGGGCGGCAGACTCGATCAGTGCGTCGATGGCGGTGTTGGCGTCCTCCTCTGTGTGCAGGGACGACACCGTCATGCGGATGCAGGGGGCGAGTTCCGTYGCGCAGCTGCTGCTCGCCGCGGTGCCGCCMGCCTCGCCGAGGGTTTCCTCGAGGGGCGTCGTCGATGCGACGATGCCCACCCCGCGCTGGAGGCACTCCCGCATGATGCCGCTCATGATGGCCGACTCGTATACGGATTCCCGTTCGAGCTGCARSACCACGATGGGCGACCTCGAGTCGCTGGTCACCACTAGGTTGTAGCATTTCGTCTTGTTGGTGGTGTTGTGTTGGTCTACTTTCTGTAGCAGCCGTTGGTACGTATACCGCACGTTCGACTGCAGGCGCTCGACCAGCTCCGGCCGCTCCTCGAGGACCCGCAGGGACGCTATGGAGGCACTGGAAGTAAACGGAGGGGCCGATGCACTGAAGCAATATCCGGCTCCCGACAGGCGTTGGTGGTCGACAACCTCTTCGTTCCCCACGGTGACACCACCGATGCTGCCCATGGCGTTTTCCAGGGCGATCGTCGTGATCTCCGCGTCGTACATGGGGCGTTTGTCGTGTTCTTCCAGGGTTCCCCGTCCGGTTTTCCCTAGGGTTCCAAACGAAAAGGATTCGTCMAGTATCAATCGGTACTTGTATTTGTGCTTGAGGGCGACAATCTCGTCCAGGGGTGCAATCGTGCCCAGGTTCTTGTACAGCCCCTCCACGACGATGAATCGGCGCTGAGCCCCCGGTTTTCGGCCGAGTTTCTTGTCGATGGCCTGGAGCTCTTTGAGGACGCGTTCCAGGTCTTCCATGTCGTTGTGCCGGAACCAGTGGACGTTCGCCCTGCTCAGATAGACACCCGTCGATAGTGGCTCGTACACCCCCTCGTCGACCACTAGCAGATCGCCACGCTTCGCAAAGGCCGCGACGGTGCTCGAACAGGCAGAAGCCCCGTCGGAGTACAAGATAGCCTGGTCGGTCCYGCAAAAGCGAGAAATCTCCTCCTCGATYTGSAGGTGGACGTCGATTGTCCCGTAGAATCCGCGGGGGCCGCAGGAGCCACAGCCGTACTTGTTCAGGGCCTCGGTGGAGGCTTGGCGGAGTGCTTCGGAGGTTTGAAAGCCCAGGAAATCAAAGTTGCAAAAATTCAAGACCCTTAGTTCTACCTCGGATCGTTGCGGTGGCGTCGTTGTTTTGGACTTGTCGGCTTTCGATTTCTTCGCGGTTTTGTTTTTCGACGAGACGTTTTTGGGGCCGYGTTTGTTCCCCGTGGTGGCGTTTGTGCTTTTGCGTTGCTTGGGATCTGTGATCCAGTGATCCGGAACCGTGACAGTCAACCACTTTCCCTCTTGCTTCTGGACCACAATTTGAAGGTCGTCGTCGTTGTCAAAGTGGACACCGCGGTTCTTGCTGTTGTTGTCTTTGTTGCTCTTTTTGCCGTCATCGTCATCGTTGCCGTTGCCGTTGCCTTTCTCTTTCAACGGAGGCGCAAGGGGCGCTCTTGTTTTGTGCTTCCACTCCCAGAGCAACTCTTCTTGTTCCCGCTTGGTCAGTTTGTCTTTGCTGCTGTCCTTGTATCCTTCCGTGGATCGCGACAGCATCATGTAAACGATGCTCATCAGCATGATGGTTTCGATGGCGACGTGCAACGGGTCCTTCGCCACCAGATTGAACCACCAGGTCTTGTACAAGCTCGGGAGGGTCAAAACGTAGCGCAGAAATGCMGAAGCTGTTTTCACCAGGAGTTCAGARTCGGTCAGAACGTCGAGGATCGTTCCCGAGTTTACGTTGTTCGTGTCCATCATTTTGGCGGTGTTGGAGATAAAGTTCGAAACGGCCTGGCCGGCCTGGAATCCCAGTTGGTGGACGGCCGGGAAYAGCATGGTTGCGATTGATCCGAAAGGAAATGCGTGTGGTTGTGTGTTGCATRTGTCTCTGCTCTGAACTCGGTGATCGGTAAAAGTACGAGTACGATAGTTCCAGAAGTTGCGCTTGGCCTTTTCACTCTTGWCGACAAGACCAAAAAAATATTTTGTTCAGCAACAATATATTCTCAACGTACAAGCAGGTACGAAGTACTCGTACCTTTAAACTACGATAGATACTTCCAGATCGAGATCTACCTACCGGTACCTGGTGTCCTGGTGCAACCGTGCCGTATCGYACTCGTACTCGTTGCGTGACTCCAAAATGAGAAAGCCCATTTTTTCTTTGTTCCTTCATTGTGAGCTCCAGTACCGTACCGTACTGTAACCCTTATTTTGTACGGGCTACGAGTACTGTACTGACTCGCGTTTCTTCGTACTCATGCTGCGCTGAGCGTGCCATACTCGTACTTACTGCAGTGTGCTTTTGGATTTTCTGGATACGAAATTCGAGGAATAGAGGAGCCAAAAAAATAAAGTAATAATTCTGCTATGATCATCTCAGGGTATGATACTATTGTACATGATACCGTAACATATATACTAGTAAGACATACGTACCATACCCATGTATTTTATGCGAACTACGGTATGCGAATGACTCACCAAAAATCACGCGATACAACCGGTATCTCGACAAGATGRTGTGTTTCCTTCACTGAACACCGAACACGGTATCTGTATCGTTCAAAAATAGCGAGATTGCAAACCCACATCATCAGCACGGATCGTCACAAACCCGGSATATCGACAATGAAGAGCTATTCGCCAATAACGCTACTCGCTCTCTCTTTGGCTCTCCGCCAGGAACACGCGGCCGGGTTTTCTCGTCCGAACCCCGAGGGGGGATGTTCGCGCGCGGTGTCCTCGTCGGCAGCACAGCAGTCRRCCGGCAACCGGCGGGAYTGGCTCAAGCAGGCGGCGGGAGTGGTCGTGGCCACGACCGCGGCCGCAACCCCGCGGGTGGCACGGGCCGAGGAAAAACAAAAAATGTTTGCCCCCGGYGGMACCCTCGTCGACTACCAGGTGGGCGTCCGGGTCGGAAACGAACGGGCGAGTGCCTCCCGCAGGAGCGACAACTCCAACGTTGTCTTCGGACAGGACTACTACTACAAGTTCGGGACGGCACCGAGCTTTATTCCGGAGGGGGACACCTCCTTCCCGGTCAAGATGCCCTTTGTCCTGAGCCAGCAGAGGTACGACGGCCTCAARAAATACCGGGAGCGCGTCCAGCGCGGGATCGACAAGGTCGCTTCGCTGAAATCTTCCATCTCCGCGGGAGACTTTGCCTCGATCCCCCCCGCGGACGATCCGGAGTACTCGATCCGGAGTACTCGATCCGGCCCATGGGGCTGCTGGCCAACGCCTTTTTGGCCTCGGAAAACACGGGAACGACCAACGAGCTCTTTTTGGCCCGTTGGTACATCAACGARATCTACCTGGACCTGGCCGACATCAAGCAGGCACCCTCGAAGGAAGCGGCCGAGACCGCGCACGCAAACGCGATTCTGGCGCTKAACTCGTACCTCGGCATGCTGAACCGTTCCATCACGGCAAAGGTCGGGGATCCCTTTGTTCTGGTCTGAGGGTAGAGGCGCTGCCAGCTGGCTTGCTTTTTGGTGGGACGGGCAAGCTTCAGCTGTTCCCAKTGGACAAACCGAAAGAGTTGGCTTTTTTTTTGTGATTGTGTTTGCTCTTCCAAGAACTTTCGAAAAGAGAGGCCATCGGGGCCACGCAATACAACAATGAACCRAATGACGCAGCCGGAACGGTCCAGACCGTATCGCGCAAAATAACAATGGCKCTCAGGCAAACTGTTGTATGTCGTGTTCATGCGGAATTCTATCGGCGAGGATCTATGAAAGCAGCCTAACAACGAAATGGTTTTGAGTTATCAATCAATAGGAATGTCATCGTATTTTGTGGATTTTTCCAAAGCGTCCTAAATGTTAAATTGTATCTTAGCGAACAGTAGGATGCCACGGCAAGCGTTCGGTGTTTTGCAATGATGAATTCCATTGCTTCACTCGATCTGATTGGTTTSGATTGGATCGTGTTGTTTGCCGCCACCGCCCGCTTCGATTTCGGATTCCATTGGATTCGATTCGATTGGATTCGATTGGATTTGATCCGATCAGCACAGGTACGGACTCGACAGGGTGGCAAAGCCGGACGCGACGCCGCCCTCGTCGACGTTGCTGAACTTKGTGCGCAGCAAAAATCCGGCGTAGGCGTTGTGGACGACCTTTCCGTTGGCGTCACAGACCAGGGTTCCAAAGGCGCCGAGCTCCGAGATGGAGTCCCCGGTGCCCTCGACCCTCCCGCCCCGCATCAGAATAGCCCTCTGCTGGGGCGGGAAGAGGCGCTGCATGAGAATGTACTCGGCGAGGTCCTCGCCGAGTTTGAGGGTGGTCCCGCCGTCGCGATCGACGCTGGCCGCGAGCTTTTTTGCCAGGTCCTCCCCGTAAAAGTTGTACCCGCCACCCTCGCGCTGGGGCTTCAGGACGTACCCCGCGTGCCCYCCGTCCAGGACCTCCTCGACGGCCTTTAGGTCTTCCCCGACCGCATCGTCTCCCAGGCTGTAGAGGCCGGCAAAGCAGGCCCGCATGGCCGCCACCTTGCCGGCGTCCTCCGGGAAGAACCGTTCCAGAACCCCCGGCCGGGCCAGTTCCTGCTGGACCTTCTTGGTTCCCGCCAGGTGGTAGCCGAGACAGGGGCACTTGGTGGCCCGCGAGTTTTCGAGGGTGAGCCGGGCCCTCCACTCGATCCCGTCGTCTCCGTCGGGGTAGTCCGTGGGGGCGTAGCCGGCCCGGAAGTACACGACGGCGACCTCGCTGCCCGTGCTTTCCAGCACCAGRGCCCCGTTTTCGCTTGCCGAGAGCTCCGCGTCGAGCTTGGTGAGGGACCGCCGCACCACGGGGATCCCGTGGGTTTCCCAGAGGGCGAATTCGAGCAGGCGCTGGTCGACCGTATTGGTTTCGCCGTCCTGCACGACAAACAAGACCACGGGTTTTTTCTTACCGGAATCGCCCCCGAAGCGCTCGACGTATCGGTCGTAGGCCACCTTCATGCCGAGCGGGAGTTCTTCCAGGGCGGGGTTGGACGGGACCCCGGGCCCCTCCGGCGACCCTTCCGCTGCGTCTTCGTCCACCACCTGCTTGACGTTTTCTTGCAAGAATGCGCTGGTTTCTGTCTCGTAGCGAGACGTTAGGTATCGGTGGAGACTGGCGATCTTGCACGACAGGCCGGCAAAGGAGGAGGCGATCGTGTTCAGCTCGACCTGCTTGAGCTGATAGGAGGCACCATCGCCGTCCCTGTGCAGCATGTAATCGCTYCGGTGCACCCCGAGGCGGTCGGCGGTCCTGGCGGCCGCACCCTTCCCTTCCTCGACGTAGACGTCCTTGTAGAGGGCGAGGAGCTTGCCCGTGTAGGGGTCCATCGAGCTCACGCCCCCGCCCAGAGTTGCCTCCAGGAATTCGGCGTCGCGGCTGACGCGATCGACGAGCTCGTTAAAGGCGGGGGCCACGCTCTTGGCCTGCTCGAAGGCCTGCCTCGGGTAGGCGTTGGGGAGGAGCGACATGGGGGCCCCCTCGAAGTAGGTCTTGGGCTTTTCTTCTCCGTCTCCGCTTCCCTCGGTTCGTCGCTCGACCTGGATCCCGTTTGCCGAGGCGTACGAGTTGGCCTGGACGGCSAGATCGTCCGTGTCCATCGAGAGAGACATGCTGTTTGTATTTCGGCGTGGATTCGTGTGGCAAGGGTTCGCTCTGTCGTTGAGTGCCTTTGTGTTTTTGTTTTTGTTTCTGTTTGTCGGGTTGTTGCTTGTAGTCCTTCCGCCGATGGCGTTCGTGCTGCTGCTGCTAAAGGCAAAGGTTGTGGTGTGGCTGAAGAGGATTGCGAGCAGGGGGAATACGGATCGTTTTGCTAGTGTTTTGGAACTATGAGGAACGGCAAGTGCCTTCTTCATAATTGACAATTGCTGTATTTTTGTACTGTATTGCTCACTTCCGTTCTCGAACTGGGATTCTTTCCGGGTTGGGAAAAAAGATATGGGCGTTTAGTCTTGCRACGTTACGTACGAGTACGAAAGCGAATTCGATCGATAAACCTTGCCTGTCCTTTTTTTTTACTGTACCGCAGTGATGCGATGAATGAACCATCATCGTTTGTGCGGTCCATTCGAAAACAAAAAATATTTGTTGGTGTTCGCGAACCCATGATTTTTTTCATCGCGCTTTCAACGACGATATGGTATGGTTCGTACGGTACCACTTGCGGTCGTGCATCGTACTCGTAGTCGTAGCCTACGTACGTATTTACGCATCGTACTAAACTTATCATTCTGCACGGAGCTCGTACCTTAACTCGTACGGTAGACGGTAGACGGTAGACGGTAGGTATAAGAATCAACCCCAAACATTACGTACGTATGGTACGTAGGAGTACTTCTAAATAACTGAGCGAGCGGTTCCTTACAACATGGCGCGCTAGCTCTACTCACGACTCGTAGGAGTCGAATTTTGAATCCTGGCACGAAAGCGTCTCCCATCTCAAGAACTAAAAACTAAAATCCAAAATCCACGAAAAAAGAGGGTGGCATCGCATCGTTCTGCGCTATGCTAATAGAGAAGGAACACAAAGTGAATCTTTCGGACCACAGCAAAAGCGTAGACGAGAGAGAGAGAGAAAGAGAGCTCCCATATTGTATTGCAGTCACGAGGCGATATCTAYAAGGGTATCAGCAATAGGACAGCGCGAAGTACATGATCTTGCATCGCCACGCAATCAAAATGGCAGCGGGAGCAGCATTCGCGGGCGGTGGCGTAGGCAGCAACACCAACGGCAACGGCAACGGCAACGCCAACGGCAACGCCAACACCAACGCCAACAATCCCCTTTCCGTGAACAACAGAATTGTGGTGGTCGGCCTGAACGGTGCCCTCCAGAAACGCTTCGTCCTGCCCGATCGGCAGGTCTTGGTGCCGGGGAACGTCCACAGGGCCGCGGGGGTGGATTTCGGGGTAGGCGGAAAGGGCCAGGACGTCGCCATTGCGCTCCACTGCCTGCTCACGGAAGGCGACCGAATCGTCGGCGAAGAACACGGCAGCAGCAACAACAGCGACGCGATCCGGCTGGTCCAGTTCCTCGGGACCGGCTTTGCCGGGGACACCGTCTACGGAATGCTCGAGGACCGACTCGGGGGAAACGCCATGGGACTGACGGTCCGGTCYGCCACCGAGCTGAGGACCTGCACCTCGATCGTTGCGGCCGACGAGACCACCGAGCTGGTGGAGCCGAGCGGGAGGATTGCGGCCGGGGAACTCGGGGACCTCCTGGSGCGGCTGCCCCCTCCGGGTGCCKCTGCCGSCGSCGGCCGGGCTCGTGCCCTCTGCGTCATGGGCAGCATGCCGCCCGGGTGCCCCGGGGGCACCTACGCAGAGATCTACGAGCGGGTGGCGGGGCCGGAAACGGTGTGCGTGGTGGACTCCCTGGCCGGGATCGACCCGGTCCTCCGCACCGCCGGCGGCCTCGGCCCGCTGGTGCTGAAACTCAACGCGTCCGAGCTGTGCAAGCTCGGGGGGACGCCAAAGGCCGGCAGCGAGACCGGAGGGGTGACCCCCCGCGAGCTGGTCGGCGCCGCCGAGGGGTTCTGTTCGCTGCACCGGGAGGCCCTCCGCCGCCGAACCGGCAACGCATCCGCGTGCGGCGTCGTCGGATTGGCCATCACCGATGGCAAGCACGATGCCTACTTTGTTGGCATGGCAGAGAACACCAGCGACGGCGGCGGCGGCGGCGACGACGACGACGGCAACGGCAACACCGGCGACGAGGATTTTACAATACTCAGGTTCCCCGTGCCGAGTCTGGACACTTCTCGGACCTTGTACCCCATCGGTGCCGGAGGTAAGTAGTGCCGCGCAACGCTGCGCAGCGTAGCGTAGCATCCCTAAGTGCTGGTTTGGTTGCAGGAGAAAAGATGTAGCACAAACCTTTGGAACATGAAACCCTGACGCCTCTGTCTGTTTTTCTATGTAATGTTTTTATTTTTTTTCCTTTTCCAACCGTGGACGAATTGCTCCTGTTTGCAGATGCCGTTGCGGCTGGAATGGTAGGGGCATGGGCGGACCTCGCAGCAATCGATGCTGCAAGCGCTWCGTCGTCGATTCTCTCGAAAGAATCCCTCGGCCTTTTGGAAGGTATGGTGCAGGTCCTCCAAAGGGACGATTGCCCCTCCTTGTCCAGAATCCAGGTCCACGCGGCGGTGTCCTTTGCCTTTGGTCTGGCCTGCGGGTCCGCGAGTTGTCTCCGGGAAGAAAACTCGGTTCTCGACGCCGGGGACGCGAACCGATTGCTCCGATCGATGCTTCGCCATCCTCCGAAGGTCGTTCGCGTGAGCGGCGGTCTGCGCCGAGGCGTTTCGTAACACGGGATCGCACACGCACGCACGCACGCACGAACACACAGGGGACAACAGACGCGGAGGGTACGGTACGTATGGATCGAACCGAACGATCYGCCCCGCATYGTACGATTCTGAACACATTCTACCGCAGATCGAACACACGAGGACGATCGTGTGGCACGCAAGATGGACCGGCAGGAAGAAAGAGGCAAACGATCGGCATTTGCGAGRAGAATGGAAAGCGTGGGACGATGGCGAGTGCATCTGCTTCTTCTCTTTTCAAACTCATGATGGATTCAACACGATCTTTCCAACTTGGTACTGAATGCAAGTAGAAAACATGCAAYCATACCGTTGTTGCCCCATTTCATCCAAGGGAATGAGTGGCAAGAGAGTGGTTCCAAGGCGTAAGCAAAAGAGAAGAACAAGGTCAATACAAAAGAGAAGAATATAGAAATTCAAAGGTTCACAATTACTAGCTAGTAATTTTTAGTGCGCTCTCGGTGTTGGTTCCTG